GTGGTTTTATAAATTTAATACTAAATACCTATATCTTTAAAGGTCTTCAATGGCAATGGAACCTATCGCGGTGAACCAGGAATGCCCAGTATTGGTCAACTCGAAGTGCGGAATCCGAGTTCGCCGCAGAGCATGATTGATAAAATGGCATCGAACCACGAATCTTGGATTAAGCCTCAGGAGGAGGCCAAGGTTCTGGAGCGTGCTATCCAAGAATCCAATGATGGGCGCGTGGAACCGGACCCGATCTTTACTCCAATAGCTGAACAATTGGGTTACCACACACATGAAGACTGTCATGAGACAAGTGTGCTCAAAGAGGATTTACTCGATATAGAGCGGGCAAATGATCAGATCATGCCGTCATACCATGGAGCACGCCATTCTAGGGCTTCAATTCCGTTCACCGTTGATACGCAATTACAAGACGACGGATATCCAGATGATGATGGAATATATCTAGTTTTGCAGACGGTCAATTCAATTCGATTTCCGGAGGGATCATCCACCGACAACGAGCTCTTTTTGACTGTCCACGAGCAAATTGGCACTGGAAGCACGCAAAGGTCGGAAATTTTGGATCCAGTTTCCTATAAGGTTGATCAGAATTCCGATTTCACACAAGTGGAAGACCTGTCCTTCTCAAACTCGACAGAAGTCCATTCGAATCTAGGGTATGGATTCTCGTATCCTTCAAAGCAGGGGCCCAAGGGAAAGGATCCCCATTGTTGTGATCTACTTGAGCGTTCTTTGTACTCAGAACCTCAGGGAACCCCATTCACTGCCTTGAAGACATTGGACGATGGCCAGGCAAGAGGATCATTCGCCTGTTCATGGAACTCCGATAAGAGAACCAAAGCCGCAGGTAAATGCATAAGCTTTATATCCCCAATGTGATATTGAAGATGGATATAGCTTCATATTGTTCAGTCAGCCAACTTTCCGGTGTTCCAGTAACTAGTGAAAAACCTGGTACACGACCAGAAATTGGTCCATACATGGGCCCTTCTCAAATCAACCGAAGATGTTCGACACATAAACAATTGAACTCTGCACCAGGATCCTCTCCATTGATTTACGTTCCAACAACTGTCTCAGATCTTATGCGTAGGGACCTCGAAATGCACTCAGTGGACCGCACATCACCGGACAATAACAAATTTACCAAACCGATTGGAATCACCACGACCAATGCGGCTATACGCGACTGGAGCCTCCGAAAGTTCCCTGAGGTTCCAGCATCGAAAGCACCTCACAGCTCCACCAATTTCCAGACTTCAATCAAGGCCCGAATCGCCATGTTCGAGCAGAAGCATAGTCAAGATAGTACCAATTCTCATGTAACAAGTGACAAAATCACTGCAGTCAAGGTATCCAAGTCGATGAATGGAAGCAGATATCAAAGTTTCGGAAACCGACTAAATTAGAACACCTTTCCAAAAGGACAGAGTAGTATTATCTATCTTGCCTTCAATGCGGTCCTAACTGATCGTATATTCAACGATTGAAGCGTCGGGGTTATATATCGAATGAATGCAATTCATAGAAAATCGAATGCACAGTGTCTATGAGAAGTTCGGACCATGTGAAATCACGGTTTCTTATCAAAACTTTCTATGAGTTTCTCAAGGTCGAAGTTGGGGTCTTCCGGGTTGGTTATGACTGAAAGAAGAAAAGTCGTGAGCAGCCATTTCATATGGCACTATAAGAGGACGTACCTCCAGACTGCTTGGGTGATACGTGCTGCTCTTTCCACGCTTTTCTCGCTTCTTCTACTAGCTTTTCTCGGTGGTGCTCAGCCTCATGTTCCCTTCGCTTGTTTTCCTGGGCTTGTAGTGTCCTTTTGTGCATGATACCATAGAAAATCCCTCCGACTAGGGCTGAGTAACGAACAACCTATATATGAAGCCAAGTGGAAGCATTCGATAGAGTATAGATTATTTTGTGAGCTTGATTTAGCCAATATGAACTCGTGATACTTTTCGACACATACGTTCACTGTCGCGGAAGGCATTATCCAGCTTCAACGTACCACCGAGATTTGCCAGTACAGTCGAAATTAGAGGAAAAAAATGAAGGGGAAGATGAGAAAGGTGAATGCCAAGTCGTGGTAAGGTTCAAGTTTTGACCTTTGGAGTTGACCACTAACTGGCGTCGAGCTACCTACTATTCTTACAATTATGAATGTTGTCGATGATGATGATGACTTTCTTTATGGGGCACCCACACAGGGAACTACGGCAACGACTGGTCTGTTTACACATACTCTACACCTCATTACAACTTTCTGATTCAGTTCATAGCCAACCATCCACCTGAGTAGGATTGAGGAATTATGAGTGATTTCTTCAAGTAACAAAGAATCTAGGTCGAAAGAAATAATCAATTCCCCTCCGAAAGACGATGAAGACGAGAACGACGAGGAGGAAGAAGATATGGATGAGGAAGACAGTGAAGACGTACGTAAACAACCATTCACACCTATTCAAACTGACGTGTTTCTCCAAGGACATCGAGATAATTACGGATGGACCAGTACAACCACCACCGAAGAATTCCATCGATTTTAGGTGAGAGGCAGTCCCAAAATCGGACATTTCAAACTTAAACACACTCAGACCACGGCCGAGTGGACCACAAACGAGAAATATAAACTTCACAACTGGTACGACGCATGTAGCCCGAGGGGAGCATTCATTTTGACCTTTAATCCAGCGCAAACCGCTCCGAATACCCTCACAACAGAATACCAACCTTTGGAGCGCGATTCTTCGACTATAAAAAAGCCCACCCCGAATCCTCCTATCACTGAACCTACGCCAGTCGTTCACGCCCCTGTCACACAACCTGAGGTAGTAGCACAAAAGCCCAATATTCCAGAAGTCCCGGAGGTGGATCCATCGACACTTCCTGTCGCCATTGCACCAGATTCAGCACCAAACATTGATCTCAATCGGGAGGGATTATTGGATGGGCGTTCCGTATATGAGGTCGACATTGCGGCTCTGGAGAACAAGGCTTGGAGGCGGCCAGGTGCCGATTTGAGTGACTGGTTCAACTATGGATTCGATGAAATCTCATGGGAAGCATATGCAGCAAGGCGCCGTGACCTTGGAGAAATGGCCCCAATACTGAAGGCCAATGTTTTGGTAGGCTTCTTTTATCTATCGATAGAGCTTATTATATATTATAATCCGTATTTCTAGACATTCTCAGGCTTGTCAGAAGAACAAATACAGAGTATGCCAACTGACCTTCGCGGTATGGCGATGGTGGGTTCCCACCTAGCATCGACATCTATGGGCGGCGGAGGTCCAAACATGATGCCAAATGGGGTTCCGGGTATGAATCAGGATATGATGATGAATATGGGGATGATGGGAGGCATGCAAGGGGGGATGGTACCGGTCGGTACGGGTGACATGAATCAAGGAGGGCAGCAAATGATGGGCCAGGGGATGAATGAGGGAGAGGGTCCTCCCAATGGCCCTGGAATGATGCAAGGGATGGAATATACAGTCGGAGGGGTGGGAATGGGAATGGAATATGCACAGGTTAGCGAAACTTTGCTTCCCATCGCAATCCATCTCTAATATCTCGAAGGATCAAAATATCATGCCTCCTAATGTGGGACCAGGCTTTCCTATGGACAATCAAGCCGGTGGTCCCCCTAATAGGGGTGCTTCGTTTCGGGGGCGAGTGCAACCAACCGCTCCAAGAGGCCGTGGAGTTCCTGCTTTTCGCGGACGAGGCAGAGGTACAGGTTTTGAGACGGGTAACGTTCATGTGTCATTTTACCGGAATAAATGATTGATTTTCGCTCCTAGCTCCACCCACAGGTCCACGGGCAGCATCACCTCTTCCTCCCAATGTCCCAACTGGGCCACGGAATCAACATCGCTACAAAGACAGGGACACGGGAGTCCCAACCTCAGAGCCACTGGATTACGGAGGTGATGGTGGTGCGAAGCCTTTAGAAAAGGGCCTTAGAGACGAGTTTGGTAGAGACATTGATCGAGGCTCAAAGGATGACGATCCAAGCAAGTCTACTCGAAAACGTCGTGGCTCGCCTCCAGAGGATATCGGAAGGTCTAAAAGACGCTAATCCCTGTATTATGAGACACCATTATTCAAATAAACTCTTAATGTCACGCTCTAGTTTAAGTTGCATGGTCTCGATATTATATTAAATGCAGTGAATATGTCCATAATTAAATAGATGTAGCCTACTTTTCAAGATCTATCCTGTAACTTTCGACCTATATCACCATGAACGTCTAACAGAATCTTGAGCGCATTCCGGGCACGAATCATAGACAAGTCCTCGGGAACTCGCGTAAACATCGTGTCAATCTTCTTTGGTTGTTCACCCCAAGGATACTAGAAGTAGATAAGTACAAATTGATGAGTAACTAAATAACAGGGAATACTCACAGGGAATAACTGGCGGGGAGAAAAAGACAAAGGGTCGTTAGATACGAAGGGCATGTTCAAGACCTATACCTACGTGATGTAGCTGCTCATATGCCAATAATGTGAAGCCAAATTGAGGGCTACTTCGGATGACACGAGCTGGACCTCCTTTGAATAATGCACGAGGTCCTTCTTCTCTCAGGATCTTCCTGAAGGCATCAAACAGGCCTTTATAATGGGACTCTCCCTTTCTGGCCTCAACTTGTAATCGGGTCTTGACCACATCTATCACCAACTATTAAATCAACGAGTAAGTCGAGAAAAAACTGTAGCACTTGCCTGCTGGAGTCGTCAGGTACGCGGCAGGCATTCCTCTTTACCCTAGGTTAGCATTGTTCAGAAATGTACCAGACAGCTTACGCAATGGCCGCTGCACCCAATGTTTCTAAAAACGAGAGTTTTTTATTATTGTATCCTTCGTGGAAAACGTCCTTTTTCAAGTGCGAATAACTTGTGAAATAAATCTATGCAGGGTCAGAGGTTTTTTCTTGTTTTTGTGGCTCAACATACAGCAG